ATGGGTGGGAGTTCTCAGGAAGCAAAGTTTGGTTTGATGCCATAAGGAAAAGAAGATTTTCATCACTGGAGCTGGCCAACGACGAAGCAGGCTGCCACATAAAGCCCTGAGCACTCCATTGCAAGTGGGAAAATAGATGCGGGCAGGTCGTCCACCAGGGGTATTGTTGAAGGGGTTGCCCATCAGTTGGGGGGATGGGCATGCGACCTCCAAGGGGCTCTAATTGGTATTCTTCTAAACAATCATTTGATATGGGTACGGACACAGAATGTGATCAGTTCAGACTTCGAGGTGGGAAAGATTTGGCTTTTACTTTCCAGGAATTTTAAATAGGAGATCTGGATTATATTGGCTTTTCTTGCACATGAAGACTGCTAAATTTAAACAGTTTGCCATTTAAGAGCTGGGTGATAGGAGATGACTTTAGAAGCTAGGGAAACTAAAAAGAGCTCACTCCAATCAGGAACAAAAGGGAAGAAACTTTTCACAGACATGTAGAATGTCTGGACCAGGAGATCTGGCTCCTTCAGTCAACAGCTTAGAGTGCTTTTATTTTAATCTTTCTTTCTATTTTCTTTCTCTGTCATATAAATTTAAGGACTATCTTATTAGATTGCTCTCTGCCAATACTTCGCATGGTCTCCTGTAATATCGATTATCACATTATATTCTAATTTATTTAGTATTCTGTATTCCCCATCTCTAATCCTTAGCACAATGCCTGGCACATAGTAGGCCCTCATGAAATGTTTGTTATTAAAGCATTGTGAGAAAACCAATCCTGGAAGAACAAAAGGGACTCTATATGCTTCGTAGCGCATCCTATCACTGACTTCTTTTTTTTTTTTTTTGAGACGGAGTTTTGCTCTTGTTACCCAGGCTGGAGTGCAATGGCGCAATCTCGGCTCACGGCAACCTCCGCCTCCTGGGCTCGGGCAATTCTCCTGCCTCAGCCTCCTGAGTAGCTGGGATTACAGGCACGTGCCACCATGCCCAGCTAATTTTTTTGTATTATTAGTAGAGACGGGGTTTTACCATGTTGACTGGATGGTCTCAATCTCTTGACCTTGTGATCCACCCGCCTCGGCCTCCCAAAGTGCTGGGATTACAGGTGTGAGCCACGGCGCCCGGCGCTATCACCGACTTCTTAAATGAGGTCTGCAGATGGAATTTACCAATGCATTTCTCTCTATTTTTTGAAGGATAGGGTTTCTTAATTTTTCTAATAGACTGAATTAGGAAGGATAAATGGATCAGGACCTTTTGTGTGTGTGTGTGTGGTGGACTCACTTGTATGATGTAATGCTGTGTCTCACTGGAGTCACCCTGAACTTCTAGGACTAAATAGGGTTAGCACAAATTGCCCTCTTCTGGCTAAAGTGTAGGCTGAGAGAACCCAGCAGTTGGCTAGGTCAACTCCACACTCACTTCATAATATTTTTCCCTGGTGACATAAGGTAGTTGGAGGTATTATCCTTTATAGTACTTGGGACAGTGTAACAATTCTGATTATTCTTGTTCCTATTTGTCAAAATATTACACTCGGAACTTAACAGAAGCCATTTTGAAGAGCAGAGATTCGAATTTGCAACACAGTATTTTTCTCGCGTGTCTCACATGCAGAAAAAGTTCTTTTCTGGGAAGAGTAGCCTGGCATTCTAGACAATGTTGTAGCTGTGCTTTGAACTTTCTTTGGTGGGCTCTTACTATTTTGAAACTCTCTTCCAGGGTGCAACTCTTTTTTGAAAGATAATAGCAGGACACAAGATAAGGGCTCATTTCAGATGATTCATCGATGTCCTATTGATTGACTCTCAACTATGAAAATAATCATAAGAAAATTAATTTTACTGCAAGATACCATGTATGTTTTCTTAAAAAAAAAGAGTATAGGACTCACTGTAGTAAACCACTTTGAGTTCTATTTTTGAATCGCAATATTCCAGCCAGTTTGCACATCGTCTTCTTACCCAGCTCCCTGATGCCGGCTTGCACTGGCCTTCTCCCTGACGCCTGTATGCACCGGCCTTCTCCCTGATGTGGCGTGCACCGGCCTTCTCCCTGATGCCTGTATGCACCGGCCTTCTCCCCGATGCCGGCATGCACCGGCCTTCTCCCTGATGCCTGTATGCACCAGCCTTCTCCTTGATGCCTGTGTATACTAGCCTTCTCCCTGATGCCTGTGTGCACCAGCCTTCTCCCTGATGCCGGCGTGCACCAGCCTTCTCCCTGATGCCTGTATGTACCAGCTTTCAAAAGCTGAACGTTGTCTGCTATTTGCCCCCTAGATTGTGGAAGACTTTAGCCTCAGAAAGGAATCTCTGTTGTAAGATAGGAATCTTACAGAATCCCTACACAAAGTATTGTAAGATTTTTTTTCACTCAGCATCCTTAGCATCCTGAATGGTGTCCTACACAACCCCTCTCTCCTCACTACATAAAACATTTGGGAAAAGGTCTTAGGATTGCCGGTCTTGAAGTGAAGCTCTGGCCTTGTTTCCCTGTCTTTAAGCCAAGCCATCTCCTATCTGGAGTATGAAACGTGCAGGGTTTCACATGGGGGCTCAGATACAGCCCCACATGAGTCAAGTATTAAAATACTTAAACAACTCAACAGTGAAGGAGTTAGGCTGCTTCTTGGCATCCATCTAAGTTGTTGATTTGTGCTCAAATCCATGGAGGCCTTTTCAGGGAACCATCACTTCTGTCCACGTGTGAGCCATTTCTGACTCTGAGATGCTCTCTGCTCAGACCTCAGAAGCATTACACCCCCAGTGCCATGTTTTTGCCAATGCCTGCTCTTATTATTCAGACAGACATGTGTGGCCTAGAGAAACTTCTCCAGGGAATAAATATCCCTTGTCTCCCTTCCCAACCACCTTTCCTCACCAGTATTCATTTTTCTGGTTAAGCAGATTCAGTGACATATGAACAAAAAAGAAGGTGACACTGCTCGGAATATGAGAATTCTCAGGGAAATAGGGCATAGAGTTCTTGAGTGATGGGACTTTACCTATTCAAAAATAGCATGTGTTGTGTTTCAGTATAATGACCTATTTGCACTTCTGTCTGATTTACCTGATTAAGAACTTCTGTAGGTGGGAATCATGCCTCATTCATCTCATAACTCCAATGCCAACCTAATATCCAGCAGCCAGTGTCCAAAGTACAATAACTCAACTTCTGCTAAGAGGTAAACAGCATTACTAGACGAGAGTGTAGTGAACTGAATGGTGGCTACCCAAAAGACGTGTCCAGATCTTTACCCCAGAATCAAATCCTTGTTTGAGAAGTGGGTCTTTGTAGCTATCACTAAGTTAAGGATCTCAAGATTAGTTTACTCTGGATTATCTGGATGGGCTCTGAATCCAATGACAGCCGTCTTTAAAGAGACAGAAGAGGAGAACACACAGAGAGAAGAAGAGAGGACCACGTGAAGATGGAAACAGACATTGGAATGGTGCAGCCACAAGCCAAGGAACACCTGGGGCCACCAGAAGCTTGAAGATGCAAGGAAGAACTCTCCCCTTGGGTCTTCCAAGGGAGCATGGTCCTGCCAACACCTTGATTCCAGACTTTGGACCTCCAGAACTGTGCAAGAGCACATTCCTGACATTTCTGTTGTTTTTAAGCCCCCAAATTTGTGGTAGTTTATTTTAACAGCCACAGGAAACCAGTATGGGGGTGACTTGCCCTTGAGGACAGCCATTTAAATTAACATACAGAGCTTGGCTCATGACATTGAAAAGAAGAGACCAAGAAAAAAGCTAGTTGAAGGACTCTGGTTGGCAGAGCACAGGTAACACGGACTGTATTGTTAAAAGAGGCCAGAAGCAGTGGATCTTGAGTTCCAGGGGCCTTGAAGAGCTGAAAGAAGTTTCAACCTCGGCTGAAGAAATGGAGTAGCAGGATCTTATAATTTGCCAGACTGCATGCATGCTTTAGATCTGGGGTATGCACTGCAGTATGCACTTGAGTTGACCAGAAAAATACTTGAAGCCTTTGCCAATGGGGAGAGAGAAGTACCTTATAGAAGAATGAGGTGTGGGGTGAGGGAGGATGGTCATTTCTCAAGCCAGGCCTTGGAGAAACCATTTTGCCAGTAGCAGGGGCTACAAGAAAAGGATCCAGGCATGGAAGGATTTTACTCCCAAATAAGCAATGAAAATAAGCCAATTTGGCTTGTCTGCTCCTAGCTGTCCTGTGCTGCTCCAGCCTGAGGCCCTCTGCCTCACAGGGACTCAGGCCTCACACACACAGATGGGGCGGGGGAGCTGATAGCTGTGAGGAGCAAAGCGTCCTCCTTCAGAGACGAGAGTGGCACACAGAAGGGATGTCAGAGATGTCCTCGGCACCAGGGCCAAGTTGGAGAGGGAAGAGTGTGGGTTTTGTTAGACACAAGATACTAGAATTCCCAGCAGTGCAAGGGAGCGAAACATATGCTGGAGAAACTGCCAGGAGACCTGGGCTATTGCTCCAGCCCTTCAGTGTAGCGGCTGCATGACTTTGCAGGAGTAATGCAACTTCTTTGTCTTACCTGCAAGGAGCTTGGCGAGATCACTTCCAAGGTCACATTAACCCTAAGAGTCTACAATTGCTGCTTGGCTATTGGATGAAATGGATTCAGCCTGTGGAAGTGTCTTCTTGCTAAGTCACTCAAACCAACATGAAAAGATTTCTGATATACACCATCCCCACCCCTGCCACCAAAAGCAAAACAAAATAAAACAAAATACAATATGATATATAGGAAAAGTATATTCGTAAGAAAGGACTACATGATTATAGCATGGCTTGAGGTGGAAAGTCAGTGAATGAATGTTGAATGAATAAATGGATAAGGGTTGATTCCTCCTTTTGCCAAAAATATAATTAATATTGTCCTACAAAGTATATTCTTAGGAATAGGAATGCATAATCATAACATGACACAATGAGAGCATTCAATGAATGAATGTTAAATAAATGAATGGGTGAGGAATTTAAAAGGATTTTTTTAAAAAAACATAGAATGCTTCATGAATTTGCATGGCGTCCGTGTGCCGGCCCCATGCTAATCTCTGTCTCATTCCAATTTTAGTGCATATGCTGCCAAAGGAGCACTGTAAAAGGATTTTAAGCGTTTTTGCTAAGTAGTACACCCAGTCTCATTTCTGCCAGGTATCTGTATGATGATGACATTTAATTTGTTTAACTCTACCTATCCTTTTTTTTTTTCTTTTGAGATAGAGTCTTGCTCTGTCACCCAGGCTGGAGTGTAGTGGCGTGATCTTGGCTCACTGCAGCCTCCTCCTCCTGAGTTCGAGCAAGTCTTGGGCCTCAGGCTCCTGAGTAGCTAGGATTACAGGCACCTGCCGTCCTGCCCACCAGGAATTTTTGTAGTTTTAGTGGAGATGGGGTTTCGCCTTGTCGGCCAGGCTAGTCTCAAACACCTGACCTCAGGTGATCTACCCACCTCGACCGTCCACAGAGCGGGGATTTATAGGCATGATCTTACTCTTTAAGTGAGAAAGTGACTCGTAGGTGACGTTCATATCGACTCTCCCCTCTTGGTGCCCCGAATCAACTAAACAGTCTTTGGCTACGTTGGTGGTCAATAAGTGTTGGTGAGTTGTTGAGCATGGATTTCCATCACCTATGCTTTGGGCTGCACGGAAAGCCAAAGATAAAGGACCATCTTGAATCTATCCGGGGGCCCTTGTGTTTTGCTCTTCAATGCTTTCTGCCTTCTTTCCTTGGACAAGGGCGCCCTCTGACCTTTTTATTCATGACTTGTTGACTGACTTCATCGAAAGAGTTGAGAGTAACGAACTGTTTTTAAACTGTTCTTATTTCTGGGGTAAAACAACTTTATTCCACTTGTAAGAACAAACAAAAATTATGATACTATGCAAACGATAATGGAGATGACTGGCCTTCTCTTAAAAGAAATAGGCTCTAAAACAGAGAAAGCTCAAAAGGATGGCAGAAGGCCAGGCCAGGTAGCATTGAAAACCCCTATCCCCTGGCCTGCAGTGTGACACCGCATGGTAGGAGCTGATTTGGAGCCAGGCCTGCCGTGCTGTGACTGTGGTCCGTGTAATTTCTGTGTCAAAGTCTCAACTGTCACATGAACGAGCCATTTAACAGACGCTGCAACCACCCTGACACTTGGGTGTTGGTCCAGTTTCTCCTCCTGTGGCTGAGTGTGCATTCAGATTTGATTTGGTGATTGGTTTTGGCAGGCTTCTTCTCCCTATCTCCCTGGCTTCCCCCTCCATACCCTCTACGCTCCCCCTCATCACTGAGCCCTATTGGAGGGGCACCTGTTACTGAAGACACCACCGAATTATGTGCAGGACAAATGCACACCCACATGAACACGCACTTTCATTACACTCCTAGAAAAATGAAAGTGAAGACAGGAAACTAGTGCTTTTGGCTAAGTGTGATGAGGCTTTCATTGCTCCAAATTCTGTGAGTTTGGGTAATGAGCAGGAAATAACCACAGTTCACACATTCAGGAGCCATGAGGATATTTACCTTTTGTTTGGACTGGTGGATACATATTTGGGTCAAGGAAATCTATGTATAGGACAAAGGAGCCTGAAAATTCATTGATTAATTGATTGATTGATTCCTTCATTCATTCATCTTAAAAGTCCCAGATACTCTGGTTGTCTGGAGATGTTCAATAATAGTTTCTGTCTTCCTTCCCTCCACCCTCTCTCTTTTTCATACGATTTAAAAACAAAGCACGTGTGCATAGAAGTAATTTTAACAACATGAGAAATGCTATAGTCGAAGAACAAACCAAATCTCATCAGGGCACAGAAGGATCACCATGTAACTGCCTGCAGATGGCCAGAAAACCTTTTAAAGGGAATGATATTTGGTCCAAGTCATAAAGAATAAAGAGAAGTTTGTCTATCTGGGTATAAATTAATTTGGCTGTCTGTCATTCGTCCCTGTCTTTCTGATTTCCCATCAGCTTGTAAGGGCAGGAGCTGTGTGTTTGGCTTCTGTATGCAGTGGGAGCCTGGCCCAGTGCCTTGTGTATGGGAATGACTTGTCATATTTTAGCTGAATGAGCAAATCTATAAATGACAGGTACTGAGGTTCTTTTAATGGGTGCACATTGGCTAGTCATGGTCAAGATCTCCTTTTGGATTCAGGTGACAGCAGGAAGGTTCATGCTGGAAAATATACAGGGTATACAGGGACTAGGGGGCCTAGATGCTGTCTAGTGGGGCCTGGACACCTAGAAGGTGACCCCAGGACTAACCATGGGTACAGAGTCAACTAACTGTTGCCGTCCACCTCTGGGTAAGAGACGATCACCACTGCTTCACTCCTCTGGTTGGGGAGGTGGACTCTGAGCTGTGAGACTCTGCCCAAGGGGTTCCTGAGGAAGCTCCTTGGAAGTCCTATCTCCCCCTAGGCCCTGGACAGCATGTGGGTGACAGGGATTGACCACTGATTGTGATATGGATCAGAAGGATGGAAAAGGCAACAATGACAAGTGATTGTCTCTTCCTAAGTTTTCCTGTCTTCTGTTGCCCTTTTATCTGCAGAGCACAGCCTAATAAACAGAGAAGGCTCAGGAGGGTCAGAAACATGGTGTTTGCTGATTCAGCCTCATTTCTCAGCCTACTTGCCAAGAATTCCCAAAAACGAAGGGAGAAAACGTTGGAGGATCATTCTGAGGCTTGAGGTAATCAGATCTTTCCAGTTCTTGAATTAGGTGGCTTGGGAGATAAGATATTGAAACAGAAAGAGCCCAGGCTAGAAATCAGAAACCTTTCTTTCGCGTTCAAGCCCTAGTTTATTGGCCAGTGAATGACCTGCAGCAAGTCAATGACCTGCAGTGAATGACCTGCCTTCTGGCAGTTTAAACTGAGGAGGTAGCAAAGCCACCACAGCGAAAACAGAAGCAGGGCCTGGACATTGTAATGTCAGCAGAACCTGGGACTGAGTTTTTTTTTTTGGAGAGAGAATAAAACTACACTGTGTACCTTCAATGAGATGTATGTGTCTGTGTGATGGAGAGGGCTTGGCATGCTCAGTTACCACTTTTTCTATCTTATATTCTTAGTTACCTTCTCTGGGATATACTTTCCTCCTCTGTTTCCAAAATCTAGCACTCAAAATCATCCATTTTGATTTATGAGGCACCCAATATATATACTCAATGTATATGTGTAGCAAATACAATTTCCCGAGTAGAAATAAAGAATACTGTTTTCCAAAAGCCTGGGGCTTATGAATATTTTTGTAGACTACACATTCTTTGCAACCATTCTAACATTTAACTGTGTCTCTAGAGAGCGCATTCTTTCTAAAGGGATAGAGGTACTAAATGGTGACATTCTATAGCTAATGTGGAAAAATTTATCACAGTACCATGTGATTTGTTCCAGGAACTACCTTTCCCAAAACAAAGGAGCCAGTAGCCTAGATGTCTGATTTAGAGATGACAGAGACCAGTTCTTTTATTCATTAGCCAGTGCATTTTATTATACAACTGAATTTTGAATTAAAATACAAATAGAATCTTATAACATTGGGATTAAAGAAATGCTGATTAATTTAATTTATACTAAGGTGTAGATGACTGATGACTATACCCCATCTTCAGGTTATGTTTTAAGTAATGATAAGGAAAAAAAGTAAAACAGGAAAAGTGATGGGAACTCTAAGGGTGGTGGCAAGGTTATAGGAAAAGGGTTAAGGACATGGCAAGGAGAGAATGAATTTTCCAAGGATAAACTTCTTCTTCCTAAGGTCAGACAGAAACCAGCAGTATGGGATCCAATTTCAGAAAATGTCACAGTCTCCTTGCTTTATGACCCAGGCTAATTTTCAAGACCCGAGCACTACTTCCTCAAAAATCAGATGAAGCTGCCAAAGTCAGGCTCTTGAGGGATTTTTATGAAACTAACATTCTTTTCTCCTTTTACATCATGCATTTTTTGGTGGCTATAAAATACACCTTAATCGCAGCACATTTAGATACCACAGCAAAGCATAAAGAAAAAAAAAACCCTATCCTCAAGTCTGCCATCTTTAATATCACAGTGCATCATGTTTTAAAGGCAAAAGGGAGTTTTTAGGACCTGCCTTCTGGCAGTTTAAACTGAGGAGGTAGCAAAGCCACCACAGCGAAAACAGAAGCAGGGTCTGGACATTTTAATGTCAGCAGAACCTGGGACCGAGGTTTTTTTTTTATTTTTTTGGAGAGAGAATAAAACTACACTGTGTACCTTCAATGAGATGTATGTGTCTGTGTGATGGAGAGGGCTTGGCATGCTCAGTTACCACTTTTTCTATCTTATATTCTTAGTAACTAGGTTACCTGAAGAGTCCATTTGCCACATTCAAATCAGAACTGGTTTTTAAATTAGTTGACTGTAATGCAGATCAGAGAAATTCCGTACATATATGTGGCATTGTTTGAGAGAGAGTGTGTGTGTGTGCGCGCACGCACGCGCATGACTGTGTGCCTGTGTGTGTGTGTGCGTGCACGCATGACTGTGTGCCTGTGTGTGTGTGTGCGCGTCCGTGCGCGCGCATGACTGTGTGCCTGTGTGTGTGTGTGTGCGCGTGCGTGCGCGCGCATGACTGTGTGCCTGTGTGTGTGTGTGCGCGCGTGCGTGCGCGCGCATGACTGTGTGCCTGTGTGTGTGTGTGTGTGTGTGTGTGTGTTCTTGCACCTGCCCAGAGGTCAAGTAACCAAATTTGGAATGGGGTGGGTTGAGAACAGCTTCTCTGTTTGCAAGCCTGTTCCCATCACTATGTCTTGCAAATGAAGCCTTTCTTCATGAAGTCAGGTTGTAGGCGAGAGATTCAGAAGATTGGAGGGAGTTTTTCTGCACTGCCTGCTTAGCCCCAGAGAAACCGGAGGACCCTTGGCTGTGCCCACAGAGGGAAAAGCCCAGGCTCCAGGTGAGGCTTCACTTCCCTCCGGCGGTTTGAGGAAGGGGTTGACGGCGATCATAAATATCATTTGCTGACACGGAGTCCTGGGGCTGCGCTGACCACAGGAGTCACAGTCCCCAGGATGTGGGGACCACTCACAAAGCAGGCATTTATGAACTGGTTGGCTTTGCATTAATTAATTCCCC